AAATAATTGTGCTGATAGTAATCCCAAAATAAGGCACAATCGGACTAATTCTACTTTTCAAAGTCTTCCATTTCCTCAAAGATAACACGAAAAAAGGAGCTTTTCTTAAAAGTTTTCCCTTGAGAAGAAAAAAGAAGCACAAATATCAAGCACATTTATGGTCTAAGTAGGCTATTTTCAGAAAATGCAAATAATGTTTTATCAGCAATTGCTAGCTCCTCTAATGTGACTATATTTTGTTCTGTTAGGAAAACCAGAAAAAATATAAGTCAGTAGGAAACAAGCTACTAAGATCAGTTCCTGCTTAAAATCGGCCTGTTGCCATTAACACTTGCACTGTCTGGAAGGCATCTGGCATGAGGATTTGCCTAAGCCTGGCTATCATACAATCTGTCAAGAATCCTTGCATCTTTTGCTATCAACCCAAACATAGAGCATCTGTAACTATAAAGTGGGAAGGGCGTAGAAGACTGAGTGGGTCCTTCTTGAATTTCCTGTATCATCCACTACCTTCCAAAAAACCAGACTCTTGCCGCAGTGCTGAAAGCAGAGGAGGTACTTTAATAGGACCAAACCCCCAGGGGTTATAGCGGTCAGCGCATAAATAATTCCCAGTGCTAATACCAAAATGATGAGTGTTGTGTTGAGACAATCTATGGTAGGCTGCCGTAGGAAGGTAGAGACCACAAAGCAGTCCCACGATAGACTCTAGTCCTTGCTCATATGGCTTCATAAGCAGATCAGGTCAAGTGGAATCGTTCCCTCTTGACCTTCAAAAAATTTGTCTGATATTTTCATTTGTCCTCTAGAGGAGAACATTTTCCCCATAGTTTCTGATTCTTCAACTAAGTATTATTTTATTTCTAAAATCCTAATGAGCAAAATAATTAAGTAGCACTTACCAGCTCCTCGTGGTCTTTGCTTTTGCTTCGACTGTAGGAATATGGAAACAGTATCTTCTGGGAGTATGAATGCATGCTGATGTAAGCTTTAATGTGGTCAACATTTCTTCTCAAGAAATTAGCCACCGCCTTCGCTTCTGGTTCTGACTCAGGGTAAAGTCCACAGTAGGTTTGTGAGCATGAGAAACTTGATGCGCCTTCCTCTGTAATGAAATTGATGAAGTGGAGTTATGAGCAAATGTACACACTATTGGAATTGGTGGTTTCCCTGACAATGTATTCTCCCAATATCTATGGTGCAAAATTTTTAGAAAAATGGATTACGTAGGTTCCGTAAAGAACATATTTCTGGTGCCCACGACATGTTGTTTATGTTTCTTTTGAAGTCAAATGATTCTATGCCCACGTAGCTGACATTCTAACAGTATTCCCAGACCCTGCCTCCCTTGCTGCCTGGGGGCAGTTGTCTTGCAACTTTGAGAAAGTGGCTAAGAGAGAATCGGCCCTCAGAGACATCAGCCCTGTCTACAGACTTCTGGTTATGTGAGAAAAAATAAACCCCATCTTCTTTAATCCAGTGCAAATTTAATTTTTCTGATATTTGTAGTTTTAAAATTATTCATCAATATAGTCCATAAAAGAAAAGCCTCACTCG